CCTTGTGTATGATGTAAATAAAAAAACCTGGATTTTACAAAATACAGTCTTCATTCTCTAAAGCATAAAAAAAAATATTTTGCAGTCAACGAGATTATAAATACTGTCTTACAGAAACGATGCATCTATACGGCCTACAAAAAAGGATGTACGATCACAGTCACAACCATCACTGGCTGCTCTCCGTCGTCCTCTTCCATTCAGAACAAACCCTCGTGTCAGCACAAGCCAGAAGATATTGCAACAGACTTTCCCCCTCAGGTACAACATTGTCATAGTTCATTAATCTTCTCAAACTTCTCCCGCTGCCATCAGCCCCCGTACGTACTACTAATCCCCTTATTAATGTGGCAAATGAACCTGCACAAGAAGGACGACTCCCCCTAGGCTCAATAATTACAATGGTCTTTACAAACTTCTGTTTGCAAAGGGTGTCCATTCATTAAATGTCCCGACAAGACAGCTCCTGGAATATGACGATAAAGTTTCCCCGCTGTTCTCCAATCACCTGGCTCATCTCCCTCAATGCTACATGTGCTAAATGATTGATATGTTCCAAATTATCCATAGGGGCCCTGTTCACACCCCCAGACCTGGTATTCAAATCTGTCCCGTATGTGTCCTTGTAACCCTTTGTAATCTGGTCTGGCTTCAACTGAGCAGAATTCAAATACACAGATGCCATGTCTCCTTGGCAGAACAAATTGATTTTCTTTTTAATGAGCCTGTATAGTTGTCTTATACAGTATCAGTAGGGACGTGAGCATACTGTCTGTACACACCGACAGTACCCAATACGTAGGTCACACCTGACCGGTAGATCGCAACTGACCAGGAGATATCGAAATCAGAGCAAGTAGGTCAAGATTACAAAAATCTAGATGTCGTCCTACTGCAGTTAAGTAGCGACTATAAACGTATGAATGTGGTATTGCACCATGAAGATTCATGCAGTCATACGTAATACACTACCGCATACTCAAAGTAGAGATGACTCGATACAATGTTTTCATGTCTGATACTGGTACTGCAACTTGTATCGGTGTCTGCTGAAACCGATATCAGTCCATTACCTACTTTTCTCCTCCGGCAGCCCCTTGGGATGCCGTTATCGAGGTGATAGTGTCCCTGCTGACAGCATGTCGCGCAAAGTTAAGTTGATTATTTTGGCTTAGGTATTGGATCGATATTCTGATCTGATGAATTTTGACCAACATCGGACAGATACAGACCCCGATCGTTGGACTGAACCACCCCTTATATGAAGTATGCCCAGTATCCATGAATAAATGTATATTTTACATTCTATTATAGACACAGGGACAAAAAGAATCTGATCAGAAATGGATCTGAATAAGAGACACTCCATGACTTTGTTAATTAGAAATCATATAAAAACAATAATAATTACAAATGTTGCAGCAGTTGACCAAACACAGTAAGGTACAGTACAGAAGATAAATACAGAAAATGTGACTGCGTCAAGTGGTAGGGACTCAAGGACTCACTGTTTTGTGTCAACTGTTTGTTTCTCTACATTTATTTTTTTGTTTCTTTTTAAAAACCCAGAAGAATACCATTTTTTTTTTTTCGTTTCTTTTTAAAAACCCAGAAGAATACATGGAGTATTGCAGTATCAGAGCAGGGTATTATAGGGTGACATTCATTATTTTATAGTATTACCTCAACTCTCTTTCAAAAATGTGCGTATACTGCTTGTAGTCACACCATACTTAACATGCAGTTTGTTCTGTTGCCCTGACTTGGTCTCGAATTGGAACTGGGATGTACTTTACATCTTTTGTAGTTGTGGAAGCGAATGGCGAATGTATGACGTACGCCATTTTGAATGAATGTCCTTCCTACCACAAACACAGCGAGTCAACCTTCTGCTATCAATTCATAAGCTTTGGTGCAGCAGTTAAAGAAACAACATGCGATTGAGTAAAGATAAAAACGTGTTTAGCATGTGTTGACCATTAGCACCACTTTCTTAATTATCTTCTATACATTAAATATAGAAATGAATAGCTTTCTTTGAACCCATTATATGTTGCTTTTTTTGCCATGATGGTGATTAGTCCATGGTTTGCCCTGAGATACAATCTGAGTAAAACAGTTCATTTGTAGCCACTGGGCTTCCGTTATGCTGGAGAAACACATCTTAAATGAAAAACGAAAAAAGAAAAAAAAAAAAAGACAGATTGCACAATTTCTAATATTAAACGTGATTTTCTCGGATGCCCGTGTTACATTGTGAGAATAGGGCAGTGTTTTGATGCTTTTCTCCTTCAGTGTGTCAGCACTAATGTTGGTCCCTGGAGGGTAAATAATAACTGAACATGTTTGTGTGCGTTGGGAGGGGGTTAGTAATAGGATTACTCATATTGCTATCAGCAAAGTTGAAGATTTCTTTGAAGCTGAATCAACTCGACCACTTATTGGTCTGCACTGACACTTCATAGAGTGCTGACGCTTTAGTTCTCTCCACTGTGTTCTATGGAACACACTCCTTGATAGAGACAGCGGTGACATCTTCATGTTTTCTTGTTGTGCACCGCGTCATGCCTTGTACATGTTCCTCGGTTCCCTCTGTTTCCACGTTCATTGATTGATGCTGATGTTGCATACGGACGTGACTCTTGAGAACTGGAGCAGAATGGCTTTTTCGATTTCTCCCGGAGAAAGTCAATTATAAAAAGGTTTTTGACTCAGCTTTACACATCTCTCTTTTGTATGCCCCCTTTCAATTAACTACGTATTTCATATCAGCTGCGGGCAACAATGCATGATTGATGACTCTTTGTTACTCATAAGGCAACACTATGAGTCGAACATTTCTTCATTGCTCCTGACACACAGATACCTTTGTGATGCCTTCATTTTTTTTTTTTCTTCTTCTGCTTTTTGGCTGCAATCTTCGACAACCCACATTAAAAGACATTTCACGAATGGAATAAAGTTGTAAAAATGTAAATGCATTGGCTTTTTCTTTATCTTTGTGTATATAAAGAGTTCTTTAATAATGGAGTCCTTATCTTTCTTTCTTTCTTTTTTCCAAAGCACTGATACTCTGTGGGGAATATGATATGAAAATCCTCTGGTATTACCTTCGGAATGTTTAAGACCCGTTGAAAGATAGTTTTCATTGCGTGGGATTCTATTTCTAACTTGGAAAAATTCACAATAGTACTGACCCAAAATGAACTGCGAAGCTTTGATTTGACTATGTCTTAAAATATATAAGATAACTCTAAACAAACACTTTGTTTTAATATTTACACTATGGGAAAGTCCTTGGGCAAATAATAATAAATAAAATGTCAAGAATATTGATTATTGATATCAATCATGTGTGGAATTGTGGGATGACTGAACAAATCAATGAAGTTGTGCTTACACTATGGTGTCATATCTCACGTGTCCTCCTCTGGGGTTGCAATCTCTTGCACCGATGCCTTGCTCCCTTGCTCATTTCTCTCACATTCATTCTTCCTCTCTTTCTCTCTCTCTCTCTCTCTCTGGCCAACCACTCACACCAACACCTCCTCCCAGAACGCCCCCCCTCCCCTCCCCAAATGAATGCCTCTTTTGACTGCTACCTCTCTCATGGAAACACATTAAATCCATCCCCAGATGCAGTGACCCAGAGGTACGCATCGCCAGGAGTCGCACAGAGTCACCCTGGTAATTCCGCTCTCCTTTCCGGATAGTTCTTATCACTCAAATCTCTAACTGCCATTATCCATCTTCCCGGTGCAGCCTCTGCATCATTAGGCAGGAGTACTTCACTACGAACACCAACAACAGCAACAGCTTTCACTCCTTTCTTCTCGTCCCTTTGCATTTCTAAGTCCACTGCATGTTGGCGTTCTGCCAGGCTGTGGCATGCAGCCCAACACTGCCACCTAAAGGATCAGTACCACCACCCATCAGGTCTGCACCGCTGAAAATGCTCTCTCTTTGGTTCTCCCTCTTCCTCGGCAGTCCTCCTCTCCCTCTTTCTCTCTCGCTCTCTTTCTTCCTTCTTCTTCTTCCCTTTGTTTGTCCATTGGTGTCTCATTAAATTGGATCCGTGTGTTGCGTAGTGAAGCTTTATTAGCAGAAAAATTAATAAGGCTTTGATAAAAAATAAAAAAAAAAAAGAGCAGCATGGATTATGTTGGAAATTTGAGTCTAATTATTAGCTAATCCTTTTAGAATTAGATGTGTATCAAGTCCCAGACAAGCTTCACTCTCGCTAGTGTTCTGTGAGAGGAGGCTTTTAATTCGCACTCAGATGACGGAGCAAAGCCTACAGTGACATTCACAATGTCACCACAGCAGACTAATTATTGACTGTTGTTAATTGCTGCGTGTGCTCAGAAAGGTCGCCCGGTATAATGTGATATTAAAAAAATACACTAAAACAAAGGAAAAAAATAAAAAATAAATAAAAAACATGAACACACTGAGGAGTTTCATGGTGAGAGAGAGATAGAGAGGGAGAGGTGAAAAGTCGGGCCACGTTTTGGGACCAACGTGTGCAGCCTTTTGCTGTCGTGACAACGGACTGGTTGAGTAGATAGGCGAGAAAAAAATGTTTCTTTTACAAAAGTACATTAAGTCACACTTAGTATGGAGTTGGTACCAGTGGTTTACCAGGGTTCGACCTGGTGTCTGAATACACAGAATAAGGCAAGGCAGTCCACTAACTTGCATTTTGTTCTTTTAAATTAAATATGTATTAACGACAAAACATCAGTCTACAACGATGTCCCCAAATAAAGCATGGTTGTTCAGTCCTTTACCAAATCCACTGATAGGCTGTTCTTCAAGTGACATTTTCTCTTTTTATTTTACATTTGAGAAAAAGTGGAACTTGCTGAAGCAGTTTTTTTTTTTTTTTCCTTTTTTTTTGTCCCCAAGTAAAAGCGAGTCTAATCTAGACAGGCACTTCAGCACTGAGGAACACGGCAGTTATAGGCAGTACTTATAGACCAGTAAAAGTGTTCTTTTACCTGCTGTCTGGTGTGCATGGGGCCCTTGGTCTTGAAACCTCCTTGGGAGCTGCACTCTGAGGCACTGAAGTGGTCGGAGCTGGTGGAGGACCTCTTGGACAGGGTGTCACAGCCCCCGACAAATGTGTTATCCAAAGGCAGCTCTTGAATCACGTGATGCTTCTTAACCGAAACTGGTGTATCAGCCTTGACGTGGAAGGCTGATTGTGGTGACGCTGATTTATAGTGGCGGGCCAAGTCAGGACTGCTGGGTTTGAAGGTTGTGGTAGGCGTTGCGTTCCAATCAAAGCGTCCAATCCCTTGCTCCTCCATCTCGGTTGGTAAGCTGATGCTTCCATTGATTGGTTCATGGGCAGGATCGTCCGCTTTGTTACCCTCAATGGTGACAAAGTTGAGGAGGGAACTTTTGGGAGACTTCCGTTTCTTGCGCTTTTTCTTCTTGTTCTGCTTGTTCTCCGTGTTGGGTGACATCCACTCAGCTCCCTGCTTTTTTCTCTGTGCAGCCTTGAATCTGGACGCGTGGCGGCAGCGCAGGAGCACGGTCACAAAAATGACAACGATCACCACAAAGGCTCCAGTAACAAAGGCTATCATTATGGTCAAATAGTCCCCGCTTTGATAAGTCTCACTGCTTTCGCCGATGTTTCTGTCTATAGGGGTTTCCATGGTGCGTCGTATGAGATCATATATGAGGGTTGCGTTTCCCACGGTGTCATTGACGTAGAGAAACACCAGCACAAGAGTATGGAGGGATTTCGGATATCCCAGGTCACTGATATTGACCACTAATCGGTGCAAACCTATGTCAGTTACTGCTGGTTTTTCCTCCAGAGTGATGTTACCAGTGACTGGGTCAATTCTGAAGAGACCCTTGTTGTTTCCACTCACGATTGTGTATTTGAGCTCAGCGTTCATGCCTGTATCTCCATCCACAGCGAACACCTCTGCTACCACAGATCCTGGGATTGAGGAGAGGGGAACGAGCTTGAAAGAAGTGTTGGAGGGAGGATAGATGACGACGGGGGTGTTGTCATTCACATCGATGACATTGATGGTCACCTTGGCAGCTGAGGAGCAGGGAGGTCTGCCGCTGTCTACAGCCCTCACGTCGAAAGTGTAAGAGCTCTGTTGCTCTCTATCGAATGACACATTAGATTTGATTACACCGGAGTAAGGATCCAGGATGAAGTTCTCGTTGTCATTCAATATGGAGAGAGAAACTGCAGCATTTTCACCCGCATCTGAATCCGTGACAGTTATGACCCCCACTGTGCTGTATTTGGGAAGGTTCTCGGAGACAAAAAACTGAAAGTGGTTGTGCGTGAACTTAGGATTGTTGTCATTCTCATCCAGCACGGTCACAATCACAGCTGCCTGAGTTTGCAGTGGAGGGGTCCCATTATCTCTGGCTGTTACTGTGAAGAGGAACCTGTCCTGATCCTCCCGGTCAAAAACCCTGGATGCTGTCAGGACCCCTGTTTTGCGGTCCAGGTCAAAGAAAGATGCATTGGGTCCTAGCTGATAAACTATCTCTGCATTCTTCCCGCTGTCTTCATCCGTGGCGGTGAGAGTGGTGAGGAAGAGATCTCGTTTATTGTTTTCCATCACAGCCAGCTCAATAACTGGTTGAGTAAAAATAGGTGGGTTGTCATTCTCATCCTCCAGCCTCACTCGCACCAGAGCAGTCTGATTCAAGCTTGGTTTTCCAGAGTCTGAGGCTACAATTTTAAAATTGTACTCTTTGGTCCCTTCATAGTCGAGAAGTGCAGATGTTTCTAACAGATATTGGTTATCATACACAGCTTTGAGATGGAAGGGCACGTCCTTTTCTATGAAACAGATGACCTTGCCGTTTATGTCAGTGTCTTTGTCTGACACCGTGATGAGGGCTATCTTAGTGTTGATCGGATCCTTCTCCGAGAGGAAAACAGTCCCATTGATGGGACTGATTATGTATCTCAGGTCTATGTTCGGTGGGTTGTCATTAACATCAGTTACATTGATAGTAACAGTGGCTCTGGCAGGACTGGAACTGCCGTCACTGGCCAAAACAGAGAGCTTGTGAATGGCCGTTTCTTCTCTATCCAACGGCCTCTGCACTGTAATGAGACCAGATGTGGAGTTCAACGCAAAGAGTCTTTTGGTCGCAGGAGACACCTGTGTCCCAAACATGTAACGTATCTCTGCATTGGCTCCTATGTCTGCGTCTGTGGCCACGAGCTGCACCACAGACGTTCCGATAGCAGAGTTCTCCGGTATGTGCACTTCCATCTGGTTCTCCTTAAACACCGGCCTGTTGTCATTCACATCTGTGACTGTAACTTGTAAAATGGCAGTGCTGGATTTCTGTGGATTGCCACCGTCCTCCACTTTGATCTTCATCACATACGTGTCCTTCTGCTCTCTGTCCAGGTTCTGCTGCACAATGAGCTGGGGCCATTTCTCCCCCTCAGGCGTTTCCACTATGTCTAATCCAAAGGCGCTCTGCCCGTTGATCAGCTCATATTTGTGGACACTGTTGGGTCCAGTGTCTGGATCGGTGGCAGAGGGAATGGCAAAGCGACTGTTAATAAGTGTGTTCTCAGGGATGGAGATGTTGATCACGGGGGAGGGGAACATGGGCGCATTATCGTTTGTGTCTCTGACGATGATCTTGATCTTAATCAGCCTGAAGTAATCATTAGGCAGAATGACCACTTCTATTTCAAAGGAGCACTCGCTGTCCTCAAACGAGGGGCCGGGGCACAACTTCTCTCTGTCGATGCGGTTGGATGTAGTGAATATTTCACCGGTGCTGCTCAGGACGCGGACCAGAGGGTTATCTCCTGCCTTGGAGACGAGCCGGTACACAAGATTAGCACTCGTTCCAGTGGCGGCGTTCATGTGGGAAATGTTAAGGTCCTTTGGTATGTTTCCAATGAGGACATTCTCCTGCAGTTCCTCTCTAATGGGGTAGATCAGCTCCTGAGCTATGGAGGGATCTAACCATATGCAGGCAAGCAGCAAGCCCAACAGGTAATAGTCTTTTAGATCCATGGTACTTTGACTGGGCTCCCGGCGTGCTTCCTTCTTTCTATGCAGCTGTTGTTAGAGACAGTGACTTCTGAAATGTGATGAGAGAAATCCTTCACAGAGAAACCTATGAATACATAACAGAGTTTCTTTTCAGTCAACTTCACTGTGAACTGCGATTACACGCACAACCACCAGAAGCGGTCTGCTCTTTTGACCACTTTTATTTAATGCCCACAATATAAAAGTGACATTAATGAATAAATCAATGCAAGAGAATCTTCAATTTTTTTTTTTAGCCACCAATACACTGAGCCTGCGCATTCCCGTGCGTCCATGCAATTTGTTTTTCCACCTTAAATCCACAATGGTCAACAAATGTAATTCAAACTGTTTTATTCATTCATACACAACTGGTGAAATTTAAAGGTCAATGAGCTCTGTTGAAATTTAATTCAAATTGAGCAAATCAGACGTTTCCCTGTCTTACATACCTAAATCCACTCCAGCTAGAGAGTGGAGTGAGTCAGCTCATAGTCCCCACATCCAGTGAGCGTGCGCGCTTATTGGGGTAAAGAAATCCTTCTCAGTCAGATTTGGCTTTGAGTCCAAAGAGGAGAAAATAGCTCCGCGAGAGTAATCAGACTCTTGCACAGTTTTAAGGTGACATCAGCCGGACGCACAAAGTGAGGAGATAACAGGCTGTGTATGTCGCAGTTCCTATTCCCCCCCTGCTTAACTTCAGTAATGGACAGATAGTAATTGCGGCGATTGCGGTGATCAGCGGTTCTGCTCTTCAGCAGACAGCCAGGTGGTCAGTGGTTTGCGGTTTCTTCCATTAGAACTATTCCACAAATCAATGCTCATGTCTCCCTTCATGTTCCCGACAAAATCATCCATTCTTCCTCTCACTGCCCTTTATTATTCTTTCACCATCAATATTATTGTTATCATTCTTCTTATTATTACTATTATTACTATTATTATTATTATTATTATTAAATGAGTGTGTTTTTCTGCAGCTACCTGTTAAGGTGAAAGCTCCGGTGGGGTGAAGACAGAGAAAGACTCCCGAGTCTCATCATGTTTCAAGTTCACTGAGCTCCGTCAGCTGCCGCAGAACCAAGGTTAAAAGAACCATCAGGATGGATTTCCAAAAAAAAAAAGAAAAAGAAAAAAAGGTGTACTCTCTCAGATCCGATCCCAGTCCGCCGGTACTGGCACAAATTTGAAGAAAAAATGAAAAAGTGTTCAGACTAACAGCATCGCGCACGGTGTCTCTACTTCCCAGCGTGTGTGCCGTTTATCCTTGCGCTCTCACTCCCGGAGCTGAATATCTGGCACTAACTCTCTCTCTCTCCGTGAACCCACAGGAGGAGCGGTGAAGTGCGCCGATGTCCTCCTCCTCCTCCTCCTCCTCCTTCTGCTCCACCAACACCCCTCCGACCCTCGTCATTGGACACCGCCCCTCTCTTTCAGCGTCGTCGACGACCAGAGTCGTGACGCGATTGGCCTGAAAACGCGTCACTCAGCGCGGCTCGGGAGGGTTGAGACGCTGCGTGAAGATGCTGCAGAGAGAGAAACAGGTTTTATACAAAAACCCCGGGGCAACAGGAGGATGATGGAGGTTGATGATGGAAAAAAAAAAACAAAAAACAAAAACAAACTGCGCTTACTGCTCATGATCACATTGGACGTAAACGGTAATTAAAACCACAGAAGTAACAACTGTGCTGGTTTGGCACAGGTGCACAGAGAGCATTACCTGTTAGACAGTCAATTGGAAAAAAAAAGAAAAGAAAAAGAGTAAAATATCAACGCACTAAGAGACAACAGTTAAAGACATTTCATCTTATCATGTGCACATCTTATTTATATAGCACTGGGATGTTGCAACATTTCCACTGCCTCTAACTCAGCTCTAGTTCTGGTGGTGCACATCCGTGGAAAAGAATAACTTCCTCTTCACAGCTACTGAATCCTTTGTACTGCCAAGTCCTTTGTAGCAGCCACTTAGATTCGCTCTCTCCTCTCACAGAAGTCATTGTTTCAGATCCCCTGCTGCAGTCCACTAGAGTTGGCCATCCTCCTAGGTAACGTCCTTAACTGCTGCCCTGGTCATCAAGGCTGCCTCAGCATGTGGTGTGTGAGCTGTCTGCCATCACACCACTAAACTGTGTCTCCTTTAAAGTTTACCCCCTTCATTCTGGAGCTTTGCTGATCTGACAAGTATGTGAAGCGACTTTGGAAACCGCCCCAAACTGCACGTGGTTTTAGTTAATTCGTTTAAAAAAAAAAAAACACCCCACAACAACAACAACAAAATGTGTGTGTGTGTGAGAGAGAGAGAGAGAGAGTGTGCCAGACACATTATCCCAAAAATAATAAACACGTCAGGAGATGACATAAGGTAACAGGCAAACAGCAGGGTTGTAAAAATTGAAATCAGAGGCTTCACACGCAGCCATCATTTACACCCCCATTCAGTCATTACTTAATTTCAATGCTGTAGATAACCTTCAATTTCATCCACAGCCCCAGTGTCTGTGCTGCAGCTGCTGAGAAGGGGAAGGACTGTGGCTGTGGAGCACCGAGGCAGACTACCCTGCCACGGTGAACACTGCCATCTTGAGGTGGATCTTCACAAACGTTTCACCCTTGCTGCATCTGGCATCTTCAAGTTCTGATAATGCATAAATCAACTGCACTTTTTTTTTTTTTTTTAAATATACCAGGACTAAAAATATGGCTCGCAGCTGTGTGAGAGACAGGGCCGAGAAAAAGGTGGTGATACGTTGTGTTGGCAAACTGTGAAGATAGTGATGCTAAGGTGAAGATTACAACACCGTCGAGGGTGAGAAAGAGATGGCAGCAGATGACTCCTGAGAGAATGGCTTTTTGCAATGGTCAGCAGTCCATTAGCCAGGGTGACCTGCTGGCTTGACTCCCCTGCTCCTGGACTCCTTTGCTGAGAGAGCAACGTGATCTGTCACTTCAGTTTAATCCCTGACACACGGATGGGAAAGATAAAGTGACAACATATCTGTGTATGGTGGCTGTGATGAAACATTTCTTGCTCTAGTGGCCTGCAGGAGTTATTAGGAGCTCATCACTTGCTTTTGCTTTCTCGGTGTGTTTGTGTGTGTGTGTGTGTGAGAGAGAGAGAGAGAGAAAGTTTTCTTGAGAAAAAGTAATGCTGTGTTATAGACACAGTATATAGGTAACGTTGCTGTAATTGGAAGTGTAGACAGAAAGTGCACCCTGAAGGCCCCTGAAGTATCAACATTTTATGAAGTTATTATTAAACACCCTGGTATTCGCCACCACCTTTCCCAAACCTGAACCTTTGTCATTATTATGATTGATGACAGCGTTTGGGAACTGGCTTTCTTTAAGTGCCGTTGGTTTCACGTAAGAACCTGAATCACGTTTAACACGGAGATCCATTTATATAATCAAAAATATTGCTCCGCTTAACACCTTCTCTCTGGGTTCACACCAGGTTATTAAAGCTCTGTCAAAAGCTGTGTGCATTCAACCAACTCCCGTGCCTACATGGACCCACAAAATCAGCATGACCGATGTGCCACGTCAGACCGATGGCAGAAGACGTTTAAAAACAACCGGGGGTGACAAGCTTTGTACTTCGACCCACTTTGCTAGATCACCAAATACTAACAAAGTACAGTGGGACCTCGTCGAGCAAATGTTTTGCTTCGAGATACGAGTAAAGACTCGAGATACGAGCACGCTTACAGACGCCGACGCTAGGTGGCCGTACGCATCTCCCGCGAGCCTTCCGTATTGTGTTTGCGTTATCTACGTGATTTTGTCTCTAGTTCTTCGTAATAGTGATGAGTCCTAAGAGAGTGAGTGGAGAGGATGGTAGTGAGAAGAAGAAACGCATGATGACCACGGAAATAAAGCATGAAATTGCCGATAAATATGAGCGCGGTGACCGCTAACGAAAGAATGCAAATCGAAAAGGGCAAAAAAAAAAAAATTTATAAAACTAATTAGTGGCTGGGTTTCTTTTCTTTTGAGGCAAAAGAATAAAAAATAAATTATAAAACTAATAAGGGGATGGATTCTTATTTTTCTGTTATTTCTTATGGGAAAACATCATTTGAGATACAAACACCTCGAGTTACGAGCTCATTCCTGGAACAGATTATGCTAGTATCTCGTCCATTACTACCATACTACGTCCATTTTTGAAACGTACTAATTCACTGTATTTTACCTCGTACTCGTCCATTACTACGTCCATTTTTGAAACGTACTAATAATAGATGGAGCTATTTACGGATTGTTTTAGCACCAGGTTATGTCTGTGGAACAATGAAACACCACTGGAAGTGATGCACTTGTTTCGACTAAAGGTCAGCGGTGCTGCCAGGTTACTATGAATGAATGTTGTTAATCACATCCCAGGACCTTTTCCAAGGTTTCACCCTGCAGCCATAGTTTGCATTGGCAGCAGTTTGGACATTTCTTACAGAGGATCTGTGACGTCAACAAAGATCACCAGATAAGTATTTTGGCACTGTCACATCTTTGTACCGTTTTGGACAGAATAATGTTGAGGCTTAAATTCTCATGTTTTACATGTAATGTAAGTAGGGCTTGCACCTCCTGGCTCACACTCCTCCACTTCTTAAGGGATCGGGGAACTACATTGGCCTCTGCATTTGCCAGGAAGCAACTCTGTTGCAGGAGTTTCTCTCCACTTTTCCAGACTCTCACTTTTGTCATTTACATAGACATTACCTGACACATTTTTATATATATCGACTCAGCAGGCAACATCACTGAGTCGAATTAGTAGCGTTGATGATGCAGCTGATTCGAGTGAGTGTGACCTTGAATTAGAAACCAGGTGGAAACAGAATGTGCGAGTCCAGCCACTTTATCGCTCTTAATTCCAAACGTACCCTGCGTCTTGTTTGTTATCTCCCTATTTAGTGTGTTTTGAAGTGACTGCAGCTAATGTTTCTGCCAGTCAAGATACTGACAAGTGATGAATAATGTAGTATGCTAATGTATGCTCTAGGTCTTGTGCTGCACTTCCTCCTCTCCCACATCGAAGGGAGAGCCTAAGGGAAGTGTCCAAACCTAAGGCTTTATGATTCCCCATATACCAGGTGCAGTCAATCACGCTGCTCACCTTGGTTTGATTCTCACACTGACTTATTGACTTGTTCGTGCCGTTGAATTGGCTTCATGAATAATACAAGGAACAAATATATTTATCTTTCATGTCCATTAAAGTACAAGGTCAAACAGGTAATTTATGTAGTTTCTAACTTAAACAAGGTCTGAGGCTGGCTGGAGAATTTAAACAGCCTGTGTCACCACTTTATTGCCGTTGCTCGGGCAGAGAGCAGTAACCTGAAGACGAATCAAGAACCGCTATGTGTCGTCTCACTGACTCTCTAAAAAACTTTTATTTCTTTAAAAAAAGAAAAAAGAAAGAAAGAAAGAAAACACATGCATAGGAGCTCCACAGCTTTTGGTACCTTGATTAGGTCTCCAGTGACGAGGGGCTAAAGGTCAGATGCACCACAGCAGTGGTCAGTGGTGGCTGTTTAGAGCGGATCAGAGAAATATTCAGACCAGTTGTAGGCTGATACAAATATCTAATATCGCTAATTTTAAAATGGTCGCACTTGTCAACAAGACCGGCGAAATTCACCAGGAGAGACAACGATTTTAGATAAACATTCTGAAGCAGTGAGGATCAGAGAAATATTCAGACTACTGTAGTTGTAGGCTGATACAAATATCTAATGTCGCTATTTTTAAAATGATTTCACCCATCAACAAAACCGGAGACACAGATTTTAGATAAACATTCTGAAGCAGTGATCATCAACTGTTGGCTCGTGGGCCCAATCCAGCCCAAAGAATAGTCCAATTTGGTCCGTGACTGGAATCCAATGTGAGGATCAAATATATCATGTGTTCAAAAATGCCTTCAGTTTTGTAGTAAAATAACAATATATAAACATTACATACATACAAACAAATACTAATTAGACAAAAAAAAAATTGAAAATTCTGGCCCTTGGACAATAGTTGGTGACCTCTGTTCCTAAAGTTAAATGTTATTTCATGTGCAGTATCAAAAAAAAAATTAGACAAAATCTTCTGTTCCACGGATTGAACCTCACTCCAGAGCTTTGCCAACCTAAGAAAGAACATCTAGCCGTAGCCTGGTATGTCTTGAGCCTTTGGTGCACTAATATTACTAACTTCTACATCACAATATTATTATGTGAACCTTGTGACCGGTCATTTTAGTAATTCCATCTAACAAGTGTAGAAGTAGGAAACTAGGATCATCAAGAAAGTTTCTTATAGTTTCTTCTTTCCACCGACCTGATTTTTCTTCTTTCTGTTTCAGGCTTTAGGATCTGTGTTTTTATGTTGTTGTTATTTACTGCTGTATTGCTATATACTGTACGGCATACTGTATGTACAATTGTCCCAGGGCTGGTTTTTCATCTGCAGAGCTCCGTGAGCTCTGACCAAAAACCAAAAATTACACTTTTAACCTCAAATATAGTTTGCTAAACCAATTCTTATTTTTCAATTTCAAGTTTTAGTATTATAAAATATTTTACATATATTAACAATTACAATTGCCCAGAAGTTCCTCATACTTCACATTTCGATGTTCTAACCATCAACACGGCTTCCAGCTATAATTTCCGAAGAGCTCTTTTTAGGTGAAAACACATCCAAATAATTACAGTAAAGCTGCAGAAGCCTTTCTACTCACACCATTTCAGTTATTTTCTGAAAGTTCTTTGTGCAGAGAAGAAAACTTAAGGTGTGAAGTTTCCTGAGATTTCACACAATACCAGCTCTTTGAAACACCACAAACCGTCTCAATCATGTGCTGTGCTTACACATTATACAAAACTAAAAAAAAAAAAATGAGTTGATACTTACTTCAAAATTATATTCTACTCTCTTTATAGTGCACATGTTTCAAAATAAGGCCTGGGGACCAAATTTGGCTCGCAGGGTAATTATATTTGGCCCAAATGTGTACTAGAGTTGGCCCTCCAGTATAAAGCCCCTGTATACTGGCAGAATTTGTAGTATTGGGGGTGTATGTTCTATATTATAGCCCATACATTTTTTTTTTTTTCGTTGTTGGCCTGTGAAAAACAAGATTTACATTAAAAAGGAACTCAAAAGGCTTTAGATAAAGAAACATAATAAGAAACAA